ATCAGTTTATATCTCTTAATAGATATAAAACGCATTGTTTGGTTATTTGCCTTTTGGTTGACAGTACAAAGAGAGAGAGAGAGGAGCAGAGAGAGGACTTTATTTATTAGTATTCTTATTAGTATTTTTGGTACTCACTATAGGGGGCTGGTTTACTCCAGAAACATACATACTGTTTATGTGTATGTTGAGGAGCTGCTGTATCAAAATGAGTTGTCTTCCCCCAGAAATTAGGGTTACGATATGTTTCTTTTATGATTCCAATCCATTCCTCTTTTGCTGTGGCTCAGCATTTAAATAACCTATATCAGATTTGATGGTTTAGTCACAGACTTTCCCAAAAAGTGTTGTGCTTTCCTTTCACAAATGTGGGAATGAAACTGTGTTAAAATGTACAAAACAGTGAAATTTATCTTGCCTGGCTGGGCAGCTCTCTGGGTGCTCAGCACCCCTAAACCTAGAAAAAAAATCCTAGAGTCGGCCCTGATTTCACCAATAAACCCAAAAGCACTTTATAATATGATTAGAGTAAGTTACTTACCACAGCCTCAGGTGTTTCCCTTTGTCCTCTCTGTATGCCAACGGATGGGATGGCTGTTTCTTTCAGAAAAAAACTGGTACCGGTTTGCTCTGTTTTTTCACTGTCGTCCTCCCTCACAAAGTGCTCCAAGCAAATTAGCAGTCATGGCAGGTCTTTTTGAGGTGTGTTGTACAGCAACGAGCCATTTTCGAAATTGCTCGGGGTTGCGGGCTGGAAACCGGTGAAACATCAAATGAGTCCCTGTAGGTTTGCCTTGAATGTTTTTGCAAGTTGCAATAATACATTTTCGAGGCATGATCGTCCGTGTTGTCTCTTTGTTTGCTTTTACCGAGTGACCTAGTGTACCTGTCCCAGAGCCAGCTGCAGCTGTTGCTCACTGGTGTATCCCTCCGTGCAGGGCGTAAACACACTATACTTCGTTGTATCAAACTTCTTCTAAAATGACTAAAAAGGACTCTTGTTTTTCGAATTAATGTTTAAACATGTTTATTTTAAATGCACGTGTAGAAATACCAGCTTCAGGGTTTCTGTAATGTTTATTTGTTCACTTTTACCGAATAGGCTACTGACCCCCTATAGACTTCAGTTGTATTCACTAAGCTAAGCCGCAATGCTAACCGCTGAGACCCAGCCACTGGACGTACAGACACAAAAAAAGGTATCGATCATGTTGTCTCACTATGAAAATGATAGAGAAAGGGCATAACTCCTAAATTGTCGGAGTATTCCTTTAAGCAATCAAAAGATCATTTGTAATTTTAACTAGTGCTGTCTCAGTGCTATGATGCACTCTAAATCCTGACTGAAATTCTTCAAATAAATTATTATCATGGAGAAAATCACACAGCTGGTCTGCGACTACTTTCTCAAGGATCTTTGAAAGAAAGGGAAGATTAGATATTAGTCTATAGTTGGCTAACACCTCTGGATCCAGGGTGGGCTTTTTTAGGAGAGGTTTAATTACAGCTACCTTAAAAAACCGTGGTACATAGCCTGTCAATAAAGATATATTGATCATGTCTAATATGTGAGTGTTAACTAAAGGTAAGACTTCCTTAAGTAGCCCAGTTGGGATGGGGTCTAAGAGACATGTTGATGATTTAGATGAAGAAATCACTGCGGCCAGTTGTTGAGGAGAGAATCAAAATATATATTAGGTCTTACAGCTGTGTTAATTAACTTGAACGGTGGTGGTTGGAGATGTGTGCGTAGTCAGATGCAGCTGCTGAGCTCCATGGAGCCATTGTCTCGACATCGGGTGCCACAGGGAATTCGGCGTCCACTCCTCTGATGAGGAGGCATGTCACTGGTCGATTCCACAATTCGTTGGAGATGTGCGCGTAATCAGCGGCTCCGCTGTGCTCTGCAGCGGCGGTAACCACCTCACCAATTCAGCTGCTGCAGAGACTTCACCTTCATCCGTGCGCTTTGTTAATGAAGAGGCGTGTCGGTAAACGGCTCCTAAATTCATCAAAAGTCATGACACCCAGTGCCATGACTGAACACCAGCCCAATAAAAAAAATAACTGAACACCAGCCCTCGCGGCCCAAACGTCAGACCGGCCCACCGGGAATTGTTCCGGTCCTCCCGATTAACCACTCCAGGCCTGCGTAATATTACGATTTTATTCTCGTAATATTATGACTTTTTCTCAGTTACGACTTTATTCTCGTAATATTATGACTTTTTTCTCAGGACAACTTGATTCTCATAATATTACAACTTTATTCTTGAAATCTCAGAATTTTTTTTTCTTCAATATGGCCCTTTACTTTACCCTTACTTTGTCGTGATTTTTGGTTTCTGATGATATGATTTTCTATCACTCCCTCGACTTTCTTTTTTTATTCACTTTATTAGGCTAATGTAATTCATTTTGCTACTGTGGCTGGTTAAAGCAGGTGTGCGGAACTTTTTACCATTTATAAAACTGTCTCTAGTTTGTATCACCCCCTCTCGAAGATCCGCATATTTATTTGAACCCAACAGCGACAAAAAAGCCTTTCTCTATATGGCTATTTAGCATAACCTCGGTCGGGTCAGACACAGCGGAAGTCAGCAAACCAGAATACGGCACCGGGAGGCGGAAGTAAGTCTGCACGCCCGCAGCGGCCCGCAGCCATTAAACCATAGAAGAAGAAGGAGCCGTGTTTATGAGTAGGATTTAAGAAACAGGCTAAATGACATGTAGTAGGGAGTAGTGAATGATTTCGGACACATTGCACACTCTTGTACAGTAGGTGGTGGTATGCACCTGGAAGTTGTTTGCGATCCGCCAATAAATTGAGAGAAGAAGAAGAGCCGTGTTTACAAAGAGTGTTCTTCAAGTAAGCGGTACGCAACGGGCATTTCTGAACACGTAACGGTTTTACCAGATATATCTATAAGGACTTGGTTGTACTTTCGATGTCATGGCGGATAAAGAAGGAGCACCATCTAAAAGTAAAAGAACAGAAGAAGGCTAAACGGGACAGTGATAGGGCTCGTGTAAACCTCGGTTGGGCATTCACCAAGTGGAGAAAGCTGAGAGAATTGAAAGGTTTTAAAACTGATCCCGAGTTGGCCCTTTTCCTAATCGACAAGTATGTAATTTTTGTTTTTATTTAGAGAATATAACGCAACTTGTTAGACGTTTTTTCACTTCAATATATGATGACATGGAAGTTAGAAGCAAGCTAAATGTAACGTTAGCTGATGTGAACCGCTTTTGTCTAGTAACGTTACAACAAACGCCACAAAATTCTGTGACTGTGAGCATGAACACAAATATACAGCAGGCAGTTGTCCTTAGTTTTTAAGAAATTCAGAGCTACACCAGAACATTTATGATTTTCCTCTCGCTCTCCAAAACAAATGCATGCGGTAATTGCTGGTTGCAGTCGAGAGTTTACGAATGAAGCCGAAGGATGCAGTCGGAATTTTACGACACCAGGCTGTGGGTGTCATACCGCTTTGACCAAAAGGGGCGCTATAATCAACGAAAACGGAAAGTTCCGCACAGCTGTTTTAATGGTATGTATAGCTATCTTTATGATACATTTTGGATGTTTGTCATATTTATGGTGTATTGTGTCATTTCATATTTGTGTTTTGTCTTGGTTTCGTTATTGCTGTTAATTTCGTATATTGTTTTGCATTATGTATTTCTGTTTGTAGGACCCCTTCGAAAACGAGGTGATTCATTTATCGGAATAAATAAACTTTTTACAATCCCAATGGGACACACCACCAAAGGTGGTTGAGAAAAACGGAAGGGGGTCATCCCTATGTTTCCAGGATTCTATGTTTCCAGGGTTCTATGTTCCCCGCTTACACAAAAAGGGTTCTGTGTTTCCCACTTGGTTGAGCAGGCAACACAGAACCCGGGAAACATAGAACCTTTTTTGCAGGGTTAAGTGGGGAATATAGAACCCAGGAAACATAGATACGCTCCCAAAAGAACAGCACAAGTACATTTTTGTACATGTCATTTTCAAGCCAAGTCATCTTACTTTTACTGGAGTATAACATTCTCATACTAACATTCTTACCACCCCTGATTTTAGTCATTGAAACTGTTGACAATGGCAAACCCAGTTTCCACTTATAAACTACTAATTACAAATGATGTTTTTAAGATTAATACTGCATACTGCACTTTGGATACAGTAAATGGCCATAAAAGTGTATATTTTCTTTTTGGATTCACAGCATCTTCAAAGACGTCAAATCATACACAAAAGATGAAATGAGATCAGATATGATAAGATAATATTATCTTGTATGTGCTTGCATGATAAAGGATGTTAGAGATGTTAAAGTCTACATCCATAAATGTGTTATGGTTTTGTCATGAATACATTAATGGAAAACACAAAGACTATGCCAGCCACTTTTCACTTTTACTTTTTTACGCACAATGAAACAAAAAAACAGATAATTTTCTTCAGTGTAATCTTTATAGTGTTGTGAGCAATGCCCATCTTGCTGCTAAAGTTATTAATGTAGATCTTACTGTAAATGTCACCCTGCCTCATTTTAGATTATTATAAATGATGAAACTTATATCTACTTCTTACCTACTTTACAATCTGCAGCCAAAACAAAATAATGAAGGCACTAAGTGAAATTTACTTTAAAGAAGGGATGATTTCACCACTCATAATTTCTTAAAAGTCAGTTTAAAGCATTGTGTGCTATAGCAAAGGCCATCTTTTAATTTTGAAGTAAAAGTTGGATAAAATCTCAGAGTCTGCATTCAACATATAGATGCAACAACTTTAGAAAGATAATAACTAAAAACATAAATGAAACACATTGAGATATATGAATCCTACATTTATTTACAGACATTTGCACCACAATTAATTAACTGTTCAAGGGGCTATCTGTGGCACTGAGGAGTACATACAGATACTATATGTCGAGATGCTAATCTCATGGTCATCATCAGAGGCATGTCAGCAAGTCAATAATGAGTCAGTAGAGTTTAGAATTAGTAAAATCACCCTGAAATATTTTCCCAGAAATTATCATTTTGAAAGAAGTTCGAAACCAGGTATAAAAGAAACCGTAGACAAATGGATTGAGCATTGAATTTGACCATCCAAGCCATTTAAAAGTTTCAATCACAGAAACTGGTATTGTGTAATTACTCAAAGGGTAAAAGGTGATACAAAGAAAGAAAGGATTCCAACAGATGAGAAAAACTCCCATAACAATAGCCAGAGTTTTGGTGGCCTTTCTCTCCATCTTACTGATGGTTGCTTCAGACTTAGTGTTCTGACAGGTTGTGTTCTGGATGCTGCGTACCTGTCTCTGTGACACCATAAAAATCTTTAGGTAGATGGTGAACAGTACAATACTTGGGAGGTAAAAGGTAAAAAAAGTTCCCAAAGCTGCTGAGCTTGTGTGTTGAAATAAAACACACTTGTTAGATTGTTCTTCGTTTATTCCCCGGATTGTGAGGCCAATTCCACTTAGTGCAGAAATAGTCCATCTCACTAGGATCATGATCACAATAACACGGACAGTTATTTTAGTTCTGTACCTCAGAGGCTGACACACTGCATAATATCTATCAACAGAAATTAAGCACAAATTAAAAATAGAAGATGAGCACAGAAATACATCAAAGCAGCCTCTGACTTTACAGAGCAAACCTTCAAGATGCCAACATGAGCTTACAGCCAGTATTGTGCTAAAAGGCAAAACTACAACACCAACAAGCAGGTCAGCCACAGCCAGAGAGAGGATGAGGTAGTTTGTAGGAGTGTGGAGCTGTTTGAAGTATATGATAGAGATTATTACCAGAAGGTTTCCACACATTATAAGAACTGATGAACAGCCAAAGAAAATACATAATACATATGAAGTTATGACTGTTGTTATGCCAGATACATTTGTAGATTCATTACAGAGATCATCAGACCTGTTGAGAAAGAATGTGGTTTCCATGCATAAATGATCTTACTACTGAGGTAACATTTGCAATAATAATATGACTTAAATGTAGAAAATACAATGCACCAGTGCCAGTTTTCTGCATAGAGATTCAAATGTAGATTTTAGTGCTTGCTATGTTTTCATACAATGCCTATTAATCTTGGTTTGTGCATCTGAACCGATGGGGCTCCTCGGCCTCTGTGATGCTGAGCAGCATCTTCAAAATACATTTATTCTTCTGGGCTCATTTGCATAATATGTTCAAAGGAGTGGCATTTACTTTCAATAGAAATGATGAGTAATTAGTGTGGTCATCTTTTGTATGAGTGTGTTTTTACTCTCTAAAAGCCATGCACGACTTTAAATTATCTTTTTAAAGTCTTCAAGAAACCATTTTAAGCAAATACATGCAGTAGTGCCATACAATCACATAACTATGAGTATTAACACTTTCCCCTCACATCTTTGCTTTTCCACCTGCTATAGATTGCTCCAGGATGAGTGTTAAAACCCAGAAATGAGTTAACATTTTACAACTCCTGGTTCCCTTGTCTCAAAGTCACTGGGTGTTTTGAATGGATTCTTGGTTAGATGCCTGAAATAAGGTCTGTGGTTACCACATGCTTAAGGGACTTTCAACCTTTGATCTACAACATAAAATGTGTCAGTAAATACTTCATTCAAGAATTTCTTAGCTTTTATGTCTTTTAAAAAAAGCAGCTGCTAATAAGTGGCTGAATGAGACTACAAAATGGCACCACACAGAACACGGCCTTATAGCCTCATTATGATGGTGGTATTAAGTCATGCAACTGTAGTGTTGTTTCTTCATGGCTAAATGTTAGCTTTTCAATTCTCGCGATTGTATTTCAGTTCAAAAAATTATAAAAGTAGTGTTCATTTGTAAGGATTATCTTGCTTAACAAAACATGTGAGTGCCATAAACTTCTGTTAACCACGGTTTATACTCTGCAATAATCTTAAATCCTAAGGAAAAATCACATAGGCTTTTTGGTGAGGGAACCAGGGCAACATCAACTTCTGTGTTGACCTATAGAAAAACGTCATCCCTTTAACATTCTATTGACGCACTCTCTCACAAAATTACTGGTTGCAGTGGTTATAGAACATCTTTTCACTTTATATGAACTGTTTTGTGCTAAAAATTACATTTTAAACAAATTAAATTCAGGCTGATTCTAAACACAGTCACACAACTCATAATGACCAATAACCCTCTCAGCTACATAAATATTCATAGTTTATTTTTGTACTTCATAGAAGCACCTCTGGCAGCAGTTAAAACGAGAGAATACTCAGAACTTGCTTGTCAAAAACCCTTTCCCCGGAAACTTTCCATTGGGTTTGGGGGGCTGTATACAACCATTTATGTCACTTTCTAACAACAAGTTCAGGGAATGCCACAAGAGTTTGGGAAGTTGGTTGGTTTATCTGCGTGAGGATATAAAATGAACAATAAGTTATAATGTCACTTGAGGGTTTTGTAGTCTTAGGCCCAATTCCAATCCGATCCCTTACAGACTCACTGACTTAGAGGCGCGTTCATGTGAAGTGCGTGAGTGTGTGAGGGCTGTCCCATTGTCAAATCGTCAGGTCAGTGAGTCAGTGAGTGAGCCCTTTATGCCCCCTTACCGTAGGTCAGCATCGATGTGGACTTACGGTAAGGAAATTACCCACAGTTCATAGCGTTGTGACGTCAAATACAGGGGTTGCCCTCGGAACACCGGAAGTGTTGTAAAAAAAAAAAAAAA